GAGAGAGAGAGAGAGAGAGAGAGAGAGAGAGAGAGAGAGAGAGAGAGAGGAATGGGGCTTCCAGACCACAGTCGAACAACACACACACTCATTCATACACACATCCATGCACACTCATTCACATACACCATGCACATTTACACAGGCTCCTTTATAGATGCTCACACACTCATGCACACACAGTTAAACACATATACTCACCTACACTCATGCTCACACGCTCACATTCAAGCACAGACACTCGTGCACACGCAAACATGTGTAAACTGAGGAGATCTGTGTAAGGCTGGTGGGTTGAATCGCCATCCCGATTGACAGGTTGGGCCAGAGTGGTGTATGATGTCATCTTAGGCACAACTGCCTGAAAGGCACACAGGGAATTATTGACTACACGTGCAAGTGAATTCACAGTGATGGCAAAATAGAAAGACACCAACAGGCAACGACGGGGCACACAGACTTCTGTCACACAAAATCTCTGACTCTCCACTCTGTGTTAGTACCAAGTCAGACCTCAGGCATGCCGAACCCTGACTTCATGGCCTGTACTGCAAGAAAGGAAACCCACAGTGATGGGTCATGGTGCAGTGGTTCCTGACGACCAAGAAAGGAAGAAGCCTCATGTGAACCAGCGAGCACTTCCTGTAGAGTGTAGACGGTCTGTCTAATGCAGCCTCTATGACCAGGGCCAAGCTATCTCCCATCATGCAGATGAAGTGACAGGAGCCCAGGGGGAGTAATCATTTACTTAGGGCTATTAAACTAAGAAAAACTGAGCCTTCTTTTTCCAGGGCAACTGGTCTTTAAAAAATTATTTAATTTTTTTTTTCCAGACAGGGTTTCTCTGTGTAGCCCTGGCTGTTCGGGAACTCACAGAGATCTACCTGTCTATGCCTCCTGGGTGCTGGGATTAAAGGCGTATACCGCCATGTCTGGCTTTATTTTTAGGTTTTCAAAAACAATTTTAAATTTTCATTTATTTAATATATGTTTATGGGTGTTTTTCTTTTTCCTGCATGTACGCCTATGCACCATATATGCTTGGTGCCCACGGAGGTCAGGAGGGAGCATTAGATGCCTGGGAGTTAAAGTTGATTGTGAACAGCATGTGGGTGCTGGGAATCTAATCTGGGTCCTCTGCAAAAGGAGTCAGTGCTCTTAACCGATCAGTAGTCATCTTTCCAGCTTCTAATTTTAGTTTTTTTTCTCATTGTGTGTGTGTATTTGCACATACACGGGCACACATATGTATGCATGCACATGTGCAGTGTGCGTGTGGAGGCCTGAGGTCGATGTCAGGAATCATCCTCGATAGCGCTTCCACCTTATTCACGGAGGCAGAGTCTCTCCATAAGAGCCAGAGCTGGGTAGATGAGGCTCGTCTTGCTGGCCAGCTTGCCCTGGGGATCTTGTCTGCCTTCTGAAGCTGGAATTACAGGCAGACTGCTATACCCATTGGGTCCTTTGTTTCAGTTCTGGGGATTCAAATCTCGTGCTGAAACTGCAACTGGTCTTTTTCAGATTCCAGTCTGTGTCTCCTCCCCTTGCCAGGAAAGAGATCACCTCTCTAGCAAACCATATCCCTCAAGTTTCTCAATGAATGGCTGGCAGTTCTCTATGGCCACCATTCAGATTTCCTGCTCAGTATGGCATGGCCAGGGCTCTGATCAAAGACTTATAAGTTCAGACCCCAAATTAGCATTGTGATTAGGATATCCTGTCTCAGCAAAGATGAGTGGACATTCCTATTTTATTCAATATTGAATCCAGAAGGATTCAATTCTCCCTCCTGCTGTTCATTTGTTCATAGCTCAGAGACTCCAGATTGGGCGCTCCTGGTTTGGATTCAAGACAAAAAGGATTTTTTGGCCTCCTGTCCATGTTTTTGTTTTTGTTTTTTGAGACAAGGTCTCACTACGGAGACCTACCTAGCCCTGGCTGGTTCAGAGCATGCTTTGTAGACCAGGTTAGCCTTGAACCCACAGAGATTTGCCTGCTCTGCCTCCCGTTACTCGGAGTAAGGTATATACCACCTTATTTCTTCCTGTAACCATCTCCCCTCTCTCTCCAGGATTGGATGACTGAGGTCTGGCCCTGAAAACACGGGGTGAGTAGGGGTTGGGGAGCACAGCAAACCAGCAGGCCAGGCCCCCTCACTCAGCTGGTCTACCTTGAGGACATGGAGGCTGTACCCACGATGATCTCTACTTATAAAGCCTGCGTTGAGCCGTGGGAAAACCATCTAGATGGCAAACAGGCGGTGTGGTCAGGAAGTAGGGAGAGGATTGCAAAAATCACAAGGCAAAGTGCCACCTACTGCAGCCCAGAGAAAGGCAGTTTGTGGCTGGGTTTGCCGAATGAACCACCACCCATTTCTCCACCTCCTGTGACAGACTGGACCAGACCAGACCAGACCAGACTAGGATGGCATGCAGCAGGTGTGACGCTGGGTCCACACTGGGTGGAGCTCCTAACAGGTGTGACAGTTGTCGCTTCCTGCTTCTTAGAAAGCTGCTTTCAGAAGCCTCTCTAGGAACCCACAGCCAAATTTGGGAGGAAGCCCCAGGATGAATGGGAAACCACCCGTGGCTGCTTCCCAGCTGAGAGGGAAGAGACACACCAACAACAGCCATGTGAGGGGCATCATCACCTGGACCCCCAGAACACCCTGCTTGCAGCCATAAGGGAGACCTTAGCTAACTCTGGGAACCCTGAGAGATAAGGGTGAATTCTCCTTTCAAGTCATTATGTCTTTCTGTGGGAAGGAGTTAGTCCACAGATGGCTGGGCCGACATGACAGGAGTCAGGGTATTCCTGGGAAGGCAAGGAGCTTGGGAAGAAACGTTCTATTTGGTGAACCCAGGACCAGAGATGGTTCCTGGTCATTGCAGACTGGACAACCCTATCAGGAAGATTAACTTCCATAAAGCCCATCTGAAACCAGTCTTTCCCCCAGCAGCCACAGAGTAAGGGGAATATCCTTTCTTGGACTTCAGAGAAATCTCACCACCTCTATGGTCCTGGTCCTGACCTCTGTCAATGGCGCAACAAGGGATAGCTCTTCCCATCAAAACTCAGCATGATTCATCATCCCCCTGCCTGCTCCAGCTCTTGTTATCACAGCAAATGCCCTGTGACGTGGGCCCCACTGTTGCCATTTTATATAACCTGGGCTCTGAGCCTTGAAATTGCCCAGAGCTGGCTGGGTCTTGCTTGCCTACCCTGACCACAAAGCTCCAGCTCGTGTGCTCCGCCCTTTCTCCTTCCCCCTCTTCCTCTGCCATAGACAGAGTCTCTGGGTCCAAGCAGCTCTCTCATTTTCCACCTAATCCCGCCCCAAGGTGGCAGACTCTTGGTGAGTGAGTGACCTTTGCGCTCAACCTGGGGCCCCAAACCTTCTTCCATGTGACCCAGTCTTTCTCTGGGCATCCAATGCCTACCCTTTAGTCTCTGCAATCAGGGTACTCTGCCCAGGACATTCCAGAAATGGTGAGGACACCCTATCTAGGGTTACTTAAGTGCTCCTCTGCTGAGACCCACTTTTAGAGACCACCTAAGATTCAGCATGTTTGTGAACCGGAAGATGGTTCGCAAATAGCTGATGATCCCAGCTGTACCGAGAGGGCACAAGGGAACCTCTGGAAAGAAGATGAGGGAAATCATTAAACAGCCCTTCACAAATGTGAATGGGAGAAAATCAAAAGAGCTACACAGGAGGCTTCAGAGGAGGTGCTTGGTTATGCCGAAAGGGCAACACCAGTAGAAGGTCTTACTGCAGAGATGATCAATCTGAAGGAAGAAAGAAGGAAGCTAAAGAGCAAATGAAGAGGCAACCCGCAGGTAGTTAACACCACAACTGTCTGTGCAGGGAGGGCTAAAGAAGAGCGAAGAAGGATGGAGGGCTGTACATACAAGGTATACGCAAAGAGGTCGAAGAGGCTAGACTCGATAATAAAACACATCTTGTCTACGAGGCTATCAGACGGATAACTGCCAGATGTGCTCCTCAGATTCGGGTGATTAAAGATGGGCAAGGACATTTATTAACAGGACCAGGGGAAGTAAAGCAAAGATGGAGACAATACCATGACACCCTGTACCATGACCCTAATGCTGTCAACATAGAATACAACGAGAAACATTTCGGCAGCCACTCAAACACCAGAGACGATGGGGGAATATTAAATATTGACAGGAGTGAGGCAGAGAAAGCTATCAGAGAAAAATCATAAGGATACTAGAAAATGCCTATAAAGAGACCTTTGAATCAGTCAAAGTCTGTGGAGAACTAAGTGAACAGTTTAAGACAATCGTAGGAGTGTTGCAGGGATGTGTCCCCTCACCATGCTCTTTAATATATTCCTGGAGTTAATAAGAGCAACAGCCCTGGAGGATGAGGAGATAGGTGGTGTACGAATCAATAACTTGAATTTCGCTGATGATACAACACTGCTTGCTGAATGTCCAAATGAGCTGCAGGCCATGGTAAATAGAGTGGTGGAAGTCAGTGAAAACCTTGGTGTGAGAGCAAACATCAAGAAGACCGAGACACATCACAAGGGAAGGGCACACAAGGATTTTATCATTGTAATAAAGAACCAGAACCTCAAGCAAACAGTCAACTTTGTCTATCTGGGAGGAAACCTCAGTTCAAAGGAGGGAACTATTTCAGATGCCCAAGAGGCAGATAGGGATAGTGAGGGTTGCATTCCAGGCACTAGGAAAGGTTCAGTCAGCAAGAAATGTAACAACAACAAAAAAACTACAAGTCTATGAGACACTTGTCTTGAGCTGCCTTTTTTACAACTCCGAAACCTGGACAATAAAACGCTCCTCAGAACAGCGGCTGACTGTGTTTGAGATGGCGTGTCTCAGGAGGATTCTAGGTGTCACACGAAGAGACGGTCTGTGCAATGATGACAATAAGAAACATCTCCACCTACAGAAGGAAGTAAACTACAGGATACGGCAACAACACTTGAGATTCTTCAGCCATGTTATGAGAATGCATGACGGCAGGTACCCGAAGACAGCGCTGCTTAGAGGAGTGCACGGGATAAGGTGAAGAGCAAGACCCCAAACACGCTGGACAGACAGCATAAAGGAAGACTGTGGAACCCTGGGTATGACAATAGCACAAGCACCTAGGACTGCCCAGGACAGGAACAACTGGGGAACCGCCAAAACGGGCTGCCCATGCGTGCTTCAGCATTGCTGGGGCACAAATGAGGATCCATGATGAAGATTCAGCACAAGCACTTCTAGGTTTCTGGATCCGGGGCACACAGATGGGCTGAAGGGGACACCTGTCTCCCGTCCCTATGCTGAGTGCTGCTGTCCACTACTGACATTTATGGTTATGATGAATCTTCACAGAACTCGCTTTGGGAGGGCTGGTGGTGGCAGCTGTCATCCCCTCACACCTGAAGCTCTGGGAAAGTGACAACCATGGGTCTGGTTGTCAAGGTCATGGGTCTGAGGTAACAAGACTGAGCTCCGGGATCAGAACTCCAGACCTCAGGACCTCCACTTTTTCCTGAGCGCCAGCTGTCTCATGAGATGATCAGCATCTGGTTGTGACCAGGGCTATCCCCACTGTCTGGTCACCATGGCGACAAGCATGACAACCAGGACATCTGCCAGATACTGTCATCTGTGTGGGAGGGAACAGCCTCAATCAGGTGAGGGTACCTGGGGGCTTCTACGGCGGGACAAAGGTGGAGAGGAAAGGGTGTCTCACTCGCCTGTTTCTGGAATAAGCTGTGGTAAGCCAAGACCCCCAAGAAAATGCTAGAAACGCCTTATTATAATAATGTTAAACAAACCATGTGTAGCGGATGAGGGAGGTGGTGCTCCATTCTTACCCGCGGGCCGAAGTCTCCCGGTGCACCCTGGGGACCAAACACAGGGAAATGAATGGCCACTCATTACAGTTATTTCTCCTCATTTCCTCTTGAACCTTCTCTCTGTGCTTGGCATAAATTCTAATGAAACAATGGGCAGGACTTATTTTCAACCTTCATCTCCAATGAGGTTAGGCAGTATGCCCAAGGTCACACAGTTGGCAAATTGAAGTCAGGGGGGGCCGCATGTATGGCTGCACCCCAGACATTCAAGTTCCCACACACAGTGTGGCCTCTGGGACAGCTGCTTGCTCTGTATCCTCTTGCAATTCCTGAGTCCTGGACTAGTGGGAAATAATAAAGTCGTGAGCTTTGACACAGTGGGTTATGCATACACAGGAGCCTGTTTCTCTTTGATCTCAAAGCCCTGGAGTTGTTCCTATAGCTTTGGTGGCATCAGCCAGAATCAGCCAGGAAGACAGTCATGATACCTACCAGTTGCAGCAGCGTCTCATCCACCCACTAACAAAGACCATTCAGAGCATGACCTCATGAGACCTCCCCATAGCTCTGTGAGGCTGCTTTTATACAGATGGACAAACTGAGGCCCTCGCAGCTGGGTAAAACTACACAGCGGTGGATCTGGACTGCTGAGAGGAGGTTCTGAGCCACCAGCTCCTGTGTCTTTCCATGACTTTTTCAGCTCTGTTGACAGCTAGGGGCACTGATTGGTTTGTCCCTGAGTGACCACATCACCCAGGCATAGCTGCATGTGACCTCTGAGCTCTGTTCTGGTCCCTCTTTCTTCAGATTCCACCATCATGTCTGCAGAAATCTCTTCTGCTCCCTTCCAAGGAACTTGGTGAGTCCTATGTTTAATGCCAAGTACCAAAGGGGCCATTGCCTGGAGCTGTCAGATTTCATGTCTAAAAGCATACAGTCCCTTCAAGGGTAGTAGCCCTTTGGAGTCTAGGCTCCATCTATTTATCAATAGATGGGCCATCTATTTATATAGCCATCTGTCTATTTATTCATCTACGTACTAATTCATTCATCTTCTCACCCATCTACCCTCCCATCCATCCATCCATCCATCCATCCATCCATCCATCCATCCATCCATCTATCCGTTCAGTCACCCATCTACCCACCCATCCACTTACTTCATGAGGGGCTGCCTTGATAACCCTCTCCCACTTGTGTCTCTAAAGGGGTGTCTTCCCCACAGAGGACTTCATCTACCATCATCATTTAAGCTCCAAGCCCTCTGGGCACTCTGCTCACTGCACAAACTGCCTTTGTTTTGTTTTGCTGGGACACCATATACCAGATCCAACACTCCCAGCATGTGGTATTTGGGTATGTGACCCTTTTAGGAGACAGGCATTGGCATTGCTTGCTCCACTCTACAGATGGGGCATTGGAGGCTCCGGAGCAGGGGGCCGACTTGCTCAGTTTATCGCTCTGGAACTGAGGTTTGGAGTTGGTTGCTGGCATCCTTCATTAGTGCACAGTGTTCAGACAGCATCCAGCTGCACTCACCTTTTCCCCTTTGGGGCCCGGAAGTCCCTGGGCAAGGAAGACAGAGAAAGAACAGGCATGAGTGAGGTGACAGGCTGGCTCCACTTCTGGCTGACCCATGGCCGTGAGGGCAGGGGGACACGTGGGGCTAGCAGAGCTGCGGGCATGTGAGTGGAACACTACACAGGCCTGTCAAGTTGTCCTCGCTGTCTCAGTTATCCTCGCTGTCTCCTGGACTCTCCACCTCTGCCCTCAGTGTGATGGAGGTGAGGGTTTGGGGGTCAGCAGCAAGGGTCCACGGGTATCCTCTGAGCAGGAAAAGGGTGCATGTACTAGTTTTTCTGCCCAGAGGACTCACATAGTCCACGCTTTGTCTCTGCTGGCTAGGAGCCATTGTCCAGAGTTGCCTTCTAGTCTCTAGAATACTTGCCTTTAAGAGCAGTGGCTCCTTAAATTTTAGGCTCCACCCATCTGTCCTTTAATAGGTCACCCACCCATTCACCCACCCATTTATCCATACAGTCACTCTTTTCCTACCTCCCATTTATCCATCTATGTACCCATCTACCTGTTTCCCACTAATTCATTTACCCATTCATGCATGAATGCATGCATTCATCCATCCATCTACTCATTTATCTATTCCACTCGTCTATCAACCTTCTCATCCACTCATTTATCCATGCATTCACTCATTTGCTTTCCATCCATCCATGCATCCATCCATGCATCCATCCATGCATCCATCCATGCATCCATCCATGCATCCATCCATCCACCTACCTATCCATCTGCTCACCCCCACCCATGCACTCATTTATCCACGTATCTACCCATCTCTCCATCCTTTCAACCACCCACTCATCTGTCTACCCATCCATTAATTCATCCATCCACCACCCACCTACCAGCACACCTATCTGCCTACCCGTTCACCTATACCCCGTTATTTATTTAACTGTGCTTATATTTCCCTGTGCACCTTGTTCATCTGCTGAGGATGCCTGTGGACCGTGGACTCCTGGAACAGGTATTGAGAACTTAATAGCCTGACGCCCATCATGGAAGTCTTGAGAATGTGTTAGACATTCTGTGTCTAGGGTCTGTTGGGATGGACTTGTAGACCTTGAGCACTGACTAAATGCTGGGGACTATGCTACCCACGGTTCCCTAGAACTCCCTAACATCCCCTAGAAGAGGTTCTTAGAGGCAAGAAGGGGAAATAACATCTCCATGGTTACTTAGTCAGCAGACGGTGGAGGTGGATTTGAAATCACATGACAAGCGGCTTTGTCTTGCTATACTACAGCTGCTGAACTAACTTCTCAATTTCCTGAAGTGCCCCATGGTCATTTTACCCTCACAGTGGCAGCCCTACCCCAGGACCATCTGGTACTGTCGTGGTGACTTACTGGCTTGCCGTCCAGACCCAGAGGTCCCTGAAATATGAGAGAGAACAAGTGTCACATACAGGAGCATCCCTTCCACGTCTTAGGACCCCAGTGCATTATATATGGTGACAAGTGACAAGAAAGCAAAGCCTGTCCTGCACGTGACCAGGGGAGGGCATTTGTGTGTAGTCAGCCATTCAGAATCCCCTTCTCTGATAACAGAACCCCAATTCTTCTCTAAAGTGCTCCCCATCATTAGGTGGGGCTGTTGAGGGTGGGCAATGACCATGCGCTTTTACAATGTGATAGGCGCAGGCCTGGGATGTAGGCTGAGCCATGAGCATCACGCTTGGGACTGCAAATGGTACTCTCAAGGGGAAAAGGGGTTCTTTTCTCCCAATGGAATTAGACCAGGGTTCCTTACCTGTCCCCCCCACCCCATGTTGCTCGAGAGAGAGAACGCCACAGAAAAGAAACAGAGCTGAGAATCCAAGAGAAAGACAGTGCTGAGGGCTTGCAGCTGTAGTGCTGCGGTGGTCCAGACACTTCTGCACACTTGGGTTTCCCTTAAGCCAATGAGACTGGAGTAGCTGTCACTTAGGTTCTGCTGTGGCATGTGACAATAGCAATAAGGGCTGAGATTTCTAGACAATACTGGGGCCAGAGCTGACAGTAGGGTACCTTAGGACCACTGGGCCTCTGTTGTGTCTGCAGAAGGCCCCGACCCTAAGGGAGACCCTTTGCCTCTCTATCTACCTGTTTACTGAACAGATCTCACCCTAGAAGGATACAGCATATGGAGATTCTGCAGACCAGGGTTGCTCGGTCACTGCAAGTCCCTGTCTTTGTCACTATGGTCCCCTCACCCCCATATGTATGTCACTTTTTTTTTTTTTAAGAAACGTTTAAATGTACTTCACCTTTGTCCCCAGGAGCATAGCCTGCAGCCCGCCCTTCTGAGTCTTTGCACACACCGTCCCCCTGCCTGGCTCACCCTTTTCTCTGCATATCTTTTCTTTACTTTTTTCTTTCATTAAGATTTATTTATTTTATGCATATGCTATTCAATGAGCATGTACACCTGCATGCCAGAAAAGGGCATCAGCTCTCATTATAGATGACTGTAAGCCACCATGTGATTGCTGGGCACTGAACTCAGGACCTCTAGAAGAGCTGTCAATGCTCTTAATGGCTGAGCCATCTCTCCAACCTGTTTGTTTGTTTTCGTTTTTTTTGAGATAGGGTTTCTCTGTGTAGCCTGGCTGTCCTGGAACTTGCCCTGTAGACCAGGTTGGCCTTGAGCTCACAGAGATTCACCTGCCTCTGCCCAAGTGCTGGGATTAAAGGTGTGCACCACCACTCTCTCTAGCTTGGTTACCTTCTCTTCCATGAAATCTTCCAGGTTTCTCTACATCCTAGAGTGGCTCATTTGTCCCTGTTCCTGGCAATATAGCCTGATGGTCTCAAGTGACACACGGTTAATGTGTGTTCTGCGTGTCTACCACAGTTGAGAAGAAAGTTTCCATCCCTGACTCTTGAGCCCATGAGTGAGGCCTGATGTGGAATTTGTGGCCAGGGAATGCTTGGGTCAAACATTGCTCATCAGAAAACCTGAGCTCCGGGCTTGGCTGTAGCTCAGTTGGTAAAGTGTTTGCCTAGCATGCCCAAACCTCTGGGTTCAATGCCCAGCACTTCATAAACACCAGGCACACCCGAAATCCCAGTCTTCGGAAAGTGGAGGCAGGAGGATCTGTAAGTCTAAGGTCATCTTCAGCTCCATAATGAGTTCAAGGTCAGCCTGAGCTACACAGGACCCTGTCTCAAACTCTGAAATTTCATGTTGCAACACAAAGCCCAACCAGCGAACTCTTTCACGTGGTGAAACTTTGCTTCATGCACACAATTATTTAACATACTTCATTAACAGCAGGTTCTGGGCATAAGGTAGATTTGACATGTCATGTCAGCCATTTTTGTTTGGACTGGGATCCCATCCCTGTAGTAGCTCATCATACATATGCAAATACAGGTTGATTATCCTTCATCCAAAAGGCTTGGGACACATGCATTTTGGATTTTTCCTTTTTGCATTTTGGAATGTTTGCATTTACATAATGAGATATCTTGGAGATAGTCCCAAGTGCAGGCATGCAATGCATTTATATTTCATTTACATATTATTTACATATCTTGAAGGTAATTTTGCATGCTATTAATAATTCTGTCTCCAAAGAACAGTGTCACGCTGTAGAATTTTCCAGATGGGGTGTTATGCTGACACTCAGAAAGTCTCTGACTTGGGAGCACTTCAGATTTGCAGGTGAGGGATGTCAACTTGTCGCATGAGGGAGGAAGGAGAAAAGGGACAGATAACGGATGATCCCTGGCACTTCATAGCCAAGAAGGGGCCGTGTTCAGCTTTGGGCTGGGGGTAGTGGAAATGGTTAGGAAGAGCTATTTGGGGAAAAAGTACTTGGGGACTAGTATCTAGCTTGGATGTGGTGAACATGAAGGGAGGGAGGCAGTGTGGTCAGAGAAGGGCCCAACTAAAGCAGGGAGTGCTGGGGTCCTGATCTTTAGGACAGAGCTGATCCAGTCATGACCTGCAGAGGTGGTTCTGGCTCATCTCTGATGAAGCCCAGGTGAGGAAGGTGTCCCTAGGCCTCTGAATAAACTCCCCTTCTGGGTGAGTGTTTGGGCCTCTGAGAGACTGCTGGGTGGAGGGTGGTTAATGAGAGTCAGTGGCCACTGAGGAGCGGGGTGGGGAGAGTGGAGGGGGTGGCAGGGCTGAGAGGTAGGGAGAAGAAAAGGACATCCTGCTTTATCGTCAGAGGGACCTGCCTAACTTGATGACATGCTTGTGTTGTCCCTTGTATCCTGCAGAAGATGGGAGTGGGAAGAGGAGGCCTGAATTGCTCTGAGCTGGGTAACTTCCTAGGGGGAACTATTCATTTCTCCTCTACCTTCCTCAGACTGATGCTCTATGGTCCCCTATCCCGTTGATTTGCCCATGGAGAGATTTTGCGGTCCAGAAAGTTTGAGAAACACTTACTTTACTCTGTAGAGAAGGCTTATTTCCCGTAAGCCTTGTTCAGATCTAGATGGTAGGTTTTTGAGCGGCAGTTTTCCCAGTCTCATGGGTGCCCTGTCCTCCATCTCAGGGCCTGGCTAGGACTAAGCATAACAACCCAGGTATGAGGCTATATGGGTTGTTTGCAAAGTAGGCATTCCCATGTCTGGAAAAGGGCCTAAGCCTGGCTCTGGATAAGAGAAAGAGAGAGAGAGAGAGAGAGAGAGAGAGAGAGAGAGAGAGAGAGAGAGATGCCTCAGGGAAGGAGTCTGGCTAATTCCAGAACAGATCTGGCTGTTGTGTGGTCTGGCTAGTTATGGCAGGACAAAGTCCAGGCAGATTGGAAGGACAGAGCTCCAGACTGGCTGGATGCTCTTGGCAGTAGGATTAGGGGTGGGTGTCTTTCCCATCAAAGCGACCCACCCCTGTCTCAGACAGTGGGGAACCAACAGCTACTCCCGCTCTTCTTGAATTTCCTGCTAGAAATACCAAGGAGTAAAGTGTCCTGAGCCTTGCTCGGCCTGGGTTCAAATTCCTCCTCTGATCCATACTATCCTGCCTGTGGGAACCCCTGATCAAAGGGGGTTGAACTTCCTGATCAAAGTCGTGGGATCCACCAGAGGTTTTCATCACCTTCTGCCCTCCGTGAAACCCCACAGCTGTTTACAAGTCTCAGTTGTGCTTGAAGTCACTTTTCCTCGAGGAGATCAGCTGGCTCCCGGATGTTTCTGGATGTTCGAGAAGCAAATAAAACCACAGGCTGCACATGAATTGAGAGCAAAGCCCCAGGCAGGCTCAATCTCTTGCCTTATTCAGTGACCGGGATGGCCCAGGCTTTGAGTTTGTATAAGGTAGGAGTTATGCCATTCTCTCGAGTGACAAGTTCAAGTTAGGTCCCAGGTCAGCAACCCAAGACAGGGAATAGCTTCAGGTTAGCTGACTTGGAATCAGGGTTTGGATTGGCCCCAGCAGCAGCAGGGCTGGGAGTGAACTTCATGTGGCTTTCTGAGTGGGTAGGCTGGATTACCTACTAATACTGTAGTCCCGGTGGCCTGGAACTCAGTATATAGACCAGGCTGGCCTCTCAAACTCACAGAGATCCACTTACCTCCGCTTCCAAAATGCTAGGATTAAAGATGTGAGCCACAACTCCCGGAACCTTTTAAAAACACTATTTGGGGCTGAAATGATGGCCCAGTGGTTGAGAGCACATGCTGATGTTGTTGCAGGGGGCCTGGGTTTGGTTCTCAGAACCTACTTAATGGTTCACAGCCCTTGGTAACCCCAGCTCCAGAGATCTGATGCCCTCTGGTCTCCATGGGCACCAAGCAGGCACACGGTCCACATGCTTATATACAGGCAAAGCACACAAATAAATGGACAAATAAAAAAGTAAATAATATTAGGTCCATCTATAAAATGATTTATTTTATTTGTAATTATGTGTGCCAACAAAGGCTAGAAGAGGACGTTGGATCCCTTTTATTTTTACATGCATTGTTTGTTTTTTTTTAAATAAGAGGAAGAATTTTAGAGATTTATTTATTTAGTTAGTTATTGTGTATACAACATTCTGCTTCCATGTATGCCCACACACCAGAAGAGGGCACCAGATCTCATTACAGATGGTTGTGAGCCACCATGTGGTTGCTGTGAATTGAATTCAGGACCTCTGGAAGAGCAGCCAGTGCTCTTCACCACTGAGCCATCTCTCCAGCCCTGCATTGGTGTTTTGCCTGCCTGCATATCTGTGTGACGGTGTCGGATGCCCGGTAACTGGAGTTACAGACAGTTGTAAGTTGCCATGTGGGAGCTGGGAATTGAACCTGGGTCCTCTGGAAGAACAGTCAGGGCTCTAAATCACTGACTGGAGTGACCCATCACTCCAGCCCCCAGGAGAGGGTTACTGACAAAGTAAGTCTGGGTTGTTGGGCCTGGAGGCTCCATCCCTGGGGGCTCAAGAGGACCAGTCACTGAA